CGCTAAAGTATATTAAATTGCTTGGCCGGCGGCGAGTCAGCCGCCCTCCACGATTACCCCAGAAGCCAAGATGAGCATCGACGAACGTCCCATCGCTGCCCAGTCCGTCTAAGCGTAACGGCGTAGGTTCATGAAGTTCGGGGCCATCCGCTCCCAAGCCCACGGTGCGGGGTGACAATGGCAGCGGATCCTTTGACCGAAAGTTTAAGCACCTGCTTGATTGACAGATAACAGCACGCTGACGCCGCGAATTGATTTCTTGATAGGGAGCTGTCTGTATGACTCGCCAAGCGGCTCCCACACCCGACAGCGGCGATGCGTCATATTACGGGCGTGATTCCCTCCCCCTTTGGGAACGTGATGCCGTTTCCACATCCCGAGTACTCGTGGACAGCTGCGCATGAGAGTATTCTTGCCCTTGTCAGGTGATCCGTCGACTACGCCTTGCTCGGTTCGTTTCATATGCCCAAGGCCCTCCGCGCGGTATCGTACACAGGCGGGGTCTTGCAACCTCACTGACTAGCTGCAATGGCGGTGCTTGGTATTATTGTGCTTCTGGTAGGTCTGAGGGACGAAAACTTGACTAACAGATTGATACTAATCTGGCTCGATCCCAGGCGATCTTGGGAGTTGTCGCCAAGTGCGTTTACAACGCATTCCTACATCCACTTCGCCACTATCCTGGTCCGAAGCTGGCTGGAGTTACCCGCGCTTACTATCTCTGGTACGATGTCCGTGGGGTAAGTCACTGGAAGGTCAAGGAATGGCACGAGAAGTACGGCGAAGTCGTCCGAATTGCGCCGGGCGAGCTCTCATACACGTCCAGTCAAGCCTGGCAGGCTATCTATGGTGCGTTTTTACACCCATTAGCTTGGTCTTTACATTTACTAACATGAATCAGGCTTTCCCAATCGGGAAGGTAATGGTAACTACGAGAAGGATGCCCAATGGTGGAACAAGAATGTCAATGGTGTTGAGAACATTCTCACTGCCGACGATGCCGGTCACAAGCGTATGCGTCGGCTCCAGAACCCAGCCTTCTCCGACAAGGCACTGAAGGCCCAAGAGTCCGTCATCACCGGCTATGTCAACCTTCTGGTTCATCAGCTCCATGGCCAAGTCTCCAGCCCCGACACGTCGTTGGTGGACATGAACTCATGGTACAACTTCACCACATTCGACATCATTGGTGATCTGGCTTTCGGTGAACCTTTCTATTGTCTCCGAGATGCGCAATGGCATTGGTGGCTTCATGCCGTCTTCGACATCTTCCAGGCCGGTACCTACCTCCGCGCCGCTCGTCGTTTCCCCTCGCCGTTGTCAGAGATGCTGCTGCTTCTCATTCCTCGCCGCCTCATCAAGACGAGAGTTGCCCAGTTCAACTTTGGTGTTGAGCGGGTGAACAAGCGGTTGGAGAAGAAGACTGAACGCCCGGACTTCAGTAAGTGTCCCATTGTCGGGCATGATAACGCAAATATTGACTGACTGTGCAGTGTACTATGTTCTCCAAGGGACTGATGAGAAGGGCATGACCATGGAAGAAATCTACGCTGCTGCCCAGGTCCTTATCGTCGCTGGAAGTGAGACCACGGCAACAGCACTCACCACCGCGACCTACTACCTCTGCGAAAATCCCGACACCTTGGCAAAGCTGACTGCTGAGATTCGCGACACCTTCGAAAAGGAGGAGGATATCACTATCCAAAGCACCGCCAAGCTCAGCTATCTCAACGCCGTCATCGAGGAGGCTCTTCGCCTTGGGCCCCCAGGGCCCGGCACCTTCCCTCGAGTCGTTCCTGATGGAGGAAGAACAGTATGCGGCGAGTTCGTCGCTGGTGGCTATTCCGTCGGCGTGCATCACTTATCCGTCAACCGCTCTCCGGTCAACTTCCGCGAGCACGATGGGTTCCACCCCGAGCGCTGGCTGGGCGATGAGCGTTTCGAGTCAGACAAGAAGAGTGCCGCCCAGCCGTTTTCATTCGGTCCGCGAAACTGCATTGGCAAGAAGTAAGTCATGACCTAGGCCCCTGATGTCTTTCTCGATATGAGATCTGACATATATATGCAGCTTGGCGTACGCTGAGATCCGCGTCATTCTCGCCCGCGTCGTATGGAACTTTGACATGAAGTTGCACCCTGACAGTGCTGGATGGCTGGGACGGCAGAAGATGTTTACCACTTGGCACAAGACTGAGATGAAGGTTCATCTTTCTGCTCGTGCGAGGTGAAGGTCTCTAGCCGGAGACTTTTATCGACTGCATTTGCCCAAGATAGAGCAGCCTTGCAGCTGCACACCGCAACTTTGATTGAGAATAAATGAGTGACAGCATTATATGCATAGACGTGAGTGTAAAAGACTGGAACCAGCTCAAGTGTTATTGTAAAGAAGGATCAACGGGAGTACATGCACTAGGCCCATCCACCATCTTCTGCGGCCAAGCCAGCCACTCACTCCAGTATGTGCCAAGATGAGCAGAGATAGACTGGACAAGAGCCTTGCCAGCATTTGCATATGCCCAGTACTCCCTTGACAAATGCAGAAGGACTGCCCAGTACGCTAGTACCACAAGGGCTTCCGGTCGCCGCTGGTCTAACAAATTGACATACTCCGTTGGGACTCTGATTGACCACTCCTGCACGGTCGCTCGCCGTCTGCCTGGGGATATTCCAGGCTTATTTTGCACGTCAAACATGAGCTGCAGTGCATCAATCGCTTCACGACATGCCGAGCGCGTTGACTCGCCAAGATCGCTTTTGTCGAAGAGCTCCACCAAACCCGCGCATTCGGTGCCCCTTTCCATCGCGTCTGGCTCGATGATGATACTATCCACAAACGGTGAATCTGGGCCTAGGTGTGCCACAAGATGGCCTCGCAGGATACTCCAGGACCCGGCGACGATGGTGCGAATGCCACGGTGGAGGTTCATGCAGTGCACCAACTTATCCAACACTGTCGCGAAATTGCCTTGGTGAATGAAGGTGTCGAACAAGACATGTTGGCCGAGCCAAGTCGAGTAGAGAAATATTGCAAGGAAGTTCTCGTTTGAGACCTCAGCTTTGGCAAGATTAAACTGCGACAAGGCTCTTGTTTGAAGTCGTGTTGCTTCGGCTCGGTAAAATGCTTGGTCCTTTCCAGGAAGGGTGCTCATATGAGCGGCTGATAGTGCTAGGAGTTCGTCCATGAGATATGGCGTGCCGAGTGCTTGCTTGATGGACATCCGTTGAAACTTTTCCCGCGTCGAGTCTCCAAATTCCATCTCGGCCCCTAGCTCGTGCTCAAAATGGAAGAGCAGCTCCATATGGAGAAGGTCATACGGCTCTGTTGGTGGGTACTGTGGCCGGTACATGGGCTGCTCGATTGGGATAGAGCCAGCCGCCGCAGCCGATGACTCTGTTGATGCAGCTGGGCTCGGGCATTGGTACATAAATGCTGATGGTGAAGGTAGAGTCGTCTCGGTGTCGAGATATGAACACCGTCGGAGGGCTGTAGAGCAGTTGACGCATGATGGACGGCTCTCGTCGCATTTCACATGGCGCTGTTTGCACTCCTTGCAGCCGAAGCGCGATTTCCGATGCGGTGTTCTCTGACGCATCTTCCTGGACAGAACTGAGCCGATGAGGAGTACGATGAAAAAACCAGAATCCGATATGAAGACCGCAGAACCGAGTTGTGGCAGACTTTCAGGCGACGGGAGCAGTGGTGGTCGCTCAAACTTGGAGGTTCTAGGCCGATGAATCAAAGTGCAGATTGAATGAAGGGTCCAGAATGTTATCCCCGGCAGGACAAGCCCAGGCACTCCTTTAAAGTCTCCAGATGATCCACGTCGTTGGGAGCCAAGCCACCCCGGTGCCGCCGGTCCTAGGCTGCATTCCCCAGACCCATGCACTGTGCTCGCGTACCTTAGGCAAAGCGACTTGACAGATCCTCAGGTACGGATTTCTCGATGACCTAAGGGACTAATGTCAAGTAAGAAATCATGCTTAAATGGATGGGGGCTTCCGCTTGAAGCGTTTAAGAGAATATCTCATTGGGCCACTTGCAACAGAGGGGTATTCGCCTGTCCTTTTCGCGGTGGGTATCGCTACGTCTCACGTTTGGACGCAATTACAGATGGGATCAACGAATTAGGCCAAGACGGTACTGGCTCGGATATGGTTAATGGAACAACGTCAGACTAGCAATAAGCAGAAATTACCATATCATCCCCAGATCACTAAGGTAAACTCCAAGAGTTTTGAGCTTCTTTTGTTGAAGCACAGTTCGTAATTATGAAGTCCTACTGGGTAAGATGACGCCAGGTCCATCGCAAGGCAGTGCCTGGTGGATCGAAGCCGTCGTATTCCAAGATCCCGCGTATTGGAAAATGAGCGATTCGTAGAGCATTCCAACCGTATTGCTAACCAGTCGGAACTGCTTGAATACGGGTGGGGCCGTTGGCGCTAGTCTCCTTTTAGGCGCCGATCTCACTCAGGGTTTTTTGTCAATCGCAGTGACCTGTTTGTTGTCTTCGCGATGTTCTTGTCTGGTTAGCTAGTATAGGCGGCAAAATTCAAGACGAAATTGAACTTACTGAATGTCCATCTCTAGCTGTCTGGGGGAAAGAACCTTGGAGGAAAAAAAGAAGGAAAAGCAACAGACAAGTTCGTCAAACAGGCAAAAGTTATTGATTTCGCCCGGACTTGAACCGGAGACCTTCAGTGTGTTAGACTGACGTGATAACCAACTACACCACGAAACCATCTTTGTTGTTACAAGGCGAGGCGGAATTGGGCTCTGAGTTGCTCGCACGGTCCAGCCGAGATTCCAGAATAGTTTGGTGGGCGTCTTGTCGTTGTAAATCGACGGGGCCGCTCGTGTTTAATCCCCTCCTGGGAAAAGTTCAAATCTTGATGTTCAAAATCATCCTATTCATCGCCCCTTAGACCATAGATTGTCCAGCCTGTCAGCTGAAGTCAAGCACTCTCGTTCATCTGATTGCTTCTTCGATGCGAACTCCACTATGACTTTGCGGCTGCGGCCGTCGACAGCTGGCTTTCCCACCAAAATCACGATTACTCAGCCGGACCTGTCCAGTCGGCTCCTCGCGTGCTTTGTCGGCATTCGGAGCGTCGCGTTCAGCGAGCGAACCACCCCGAGTCTTTCACCCTCACGAACCATCAGATCATCCCATCAATCCCTCATGTCCAATACTGAAGCCGACGAGACCACCTCGCTTCTTCCGACTCAATCACCCAAGCCCGATACCGTCGAGGACGAAGAAGAAACCATGAGCAGCCAGCTGTACTGGAAGGTCGGAGCCGTCTTCGGCGCCACCGCCGTCGGCTTCGGAGCCTTCGGGGCCCACGGCCTCAAGAACCGCATTTCTGATCCCGCAAAGATCGCCAGCTGGACGACCGCAGCCCACTACCAGGTAAATGGCCTCCCCCGGGGCTGTCGTCTCCGTGTGATGAATTCGTCCGATGAATACTGACGAGAATTAGCTCGCACACTCGATCGCTCTGCTCATCGCCCGCCAAAACCCCGTGGCTGCCGGTTTCTTCACCGCTGGCATGACCATGTTCAGCGGCAGCATCTACGCCCTCATCCTCAACCCCGACCTCAAGTTCCTCGGCCCTGTCACTCCAATTGGTGGTCTCGCTTTGATTGCTGGCTGGCTGGCTCTCGCTTTTACCAAGGGACGTGTCCGCTTTTAAATGCAAAACGTTGCCTTGCGAGGGTTGTCTCCGTTGCTCTCAACATGTACTTCTACTTGTATCACATCACGTTATGTCACCACGCGCGCTGCAATAAAATCCTCTACTCCCCAATCAAAGTCCCACTATTGTGCCAATAACCTCTTGTCTTGTTTTGATGGCCCAGTATTATTTGGCGTCACCCTCTGTCGCGCTTTGTCACTATTTATCCTATGGTCTCTCATCCTAAGGTAGTGAAGCTACACATCATCACCCCAGTCAGGGAATACCCATCCGAACAAGGTCTTCAGCTCACCCATCTTAACACCGGCATTTTGGTTGGTAGAATTAGGATACTTGAGTGATGCGGTGCCAACACTATCAGACGCCTTCGTTATGTAGTCGCTCGAGGCCACCGCGGTCGCACTACTTGGAGTGCTCTCGAATGAGTCTGTCCCCAACTCGATAGCGTCTTGTTGAAAACCAGAGACATATCGTCGTGCGATTCCAGCGAACTCGGATATGATACCGCCTGGCAATGCTCCTTGCGATGCGGAGTCAATCACGCGAAAGTATCGAGAAGCCACGTCCAAAAGCACAAGATTCTCTTCGGTTCTCGCGTGGCGTGGGTTATGAATGACGAAGTCGAAAAGAATGAAGAGCGCCGACAATGGCATGGTCCCAGATATACTGGTACAGAGTGGCCAACGCATTAACACAGCACTAAGATGGGGTTCTGTGATCAACTTACAAGATGGGAACATGAGGCTCAAAGTCAATGAATACCATCAATTCCACGATGTTGCGAGCAGTATTCATGAGATTCACCTTGCTCTTTTCACGATCTTCCTCCTCTTCTCGGCTGATGTGGATGGACAGTCTTTCCAAGGGAATTACAACACTGTAGTACGCATAGTTGGTATGCAGTAGCACCTTTTTCAAGCTGGGTATGAGGTCGATATCATGCTGCTCGACCGCCTCTCCTGGTCTGAACGCCGAAGGGATGGACACCCGCCAACCTTCAAGGAGACGCCAAACGCGGGCGATGGCGGTTGCTACGGCGGCTTTCGATTTCAAAGATGCACTGACCGAGAAAAGCGATGAGTATGCAATTGATGAGATTCTGGCGAGGCGAATAGTAGATGTAAACCAGTCGTAGTTCCCAAAAACGGATTCCGGAGCCAAAGGCATCACGCATCCAATGTCATCGTCTGCCAGGAGCTTGAATGGAAGTGATTAGCCGGCCGATTTCTATCACCCGAAGGAATTTGGCAGTCATACCGAGCTTTGGCATTCTGAGAAACTCGATATCTTTTCCAAGTAGTACACCGTCCAGAATGTTTTGAGGTGGCCGGCATCGCAATTCGACGACTTATGGTATTTCAGCGTTTGTGCCATCCGCGCTGCCTCGGAGATGAGTGTTTGATCGAGTTGGAGACAGCAAGCATTCATTGCGAATATAGACTGCGCAATGTACTTATCAGCATCCAAATGCAATGTGAGACCGCAAACTTAGGAATGGTATCATCTACTTACCATTGCTGTCAAAGCCTAGAATTCAATATTTCTGGTTAGGTCAAGGGGTCAAGAGTATGAAAGGGAGAGACAGGACAAACTGGCTGGCTACCTACCTGAAGATTTACTAGCGTCACCGGCGGCGCCAGTACGTCGGGCAACTTCCCCAGTGATACTTGGAAGAGGTCCCATGCCAGTCCGACGTGTGGAACGAAGCTTCCATGCTGAAAGAATTGACTTCCAAGAGCCATTATTGTATGGTACAGCGCGGAAAATGATGGGTTTAGCTGCAGTATATCTTCCACAAAGATGTCTGAAGCTTGAAGCATAAAGTCATCTCGGTCAAGGAAGGGGTACACGGGGTGCAGGTGCTCAAAAAAGGCTTTGCGACGTCAGACCTAAAGCGACTGGGAGATGGGTTGGCGTGTAAAAGGTCGACTTACCTAAGAGAAAACTAGTTGCCATCTGTGGTTGAAGCAAGACTGGGTCGGGCTTTACAAAGTCGATTCCGTCCCATCTAGATGTCTGCTTTTGACAAACCCGCTTCTTGATGAGGTCCTCGAGATTCTCCACCAGTTCCTGTAGAGCATTCGTCCCAAGCCTTCCAGCTAGAGACATCAATCTATCATTGGAAAAGAATGACACCGTTGAACTTTGAACTGGAAAATGGTTAGGAAAACCTGAAACCAGCGCTTGGAGTGTTTTGGCAACGCAAACCTCTGTCATCAGGTGCCTGTGAAAGCCGACTTGTCAGTCTCTGATTGCAAAACCTCGCAATGAATGTGGTTGTGGTAAGTTTTAATTCAACAAACCTTTATAACTGTGAACTCATCACAAAGAACAGTACTCTGAGGGCCACACCCGAGTATGCGGTCGATATAGAGTCCGTCGCCGGCAGTGTCGTCATCACAGCCTTCATGATGGCTAGAAGAATCGGCAAAGAATAGAGCTGCAGGCACTGTGAGATATGTCAGACTCTGGCCTCGAGGAGATTTTACTGGCCCGGATGAATGCTTCACCTTTCACCCTTGCCCTGCGTCTGAAAGTGCTGAAATTACAAGACTCATTGCGATTCTAGCCAATTATTAAATCATTGAAAAGAAATCGTGCCTCGAGAAATGGACACGTGATGAGAAACTCACAGCACAATGAACGCAAGCAGTCGGAGTTTCAAGAGTCGCATGTGATCTGAGAGCCGGCACTAACGGTGTAGAGTGTCATCCTGAGGTTCGGTATCAGGCAGCCCTTGCGCTGCATCTGTTGATAAGGAGCGCATTGAATGTCACATACCCACACATCGAACTTTCCGAAGTCTGCACTGATCGCAGGATTTGTTCAGCTTCATTTCAATACAGTGACTGGTAAGGATGCAAGGGAAGATTGCTAGTCTCGAGACGGAGGCTTTCGTTTTAGGCAGACGTGGTCAGCTGAAAAGTCGTGCCACCTATTTAGTACAGCAGAGGGGGAGCCAGCGGCTAAATACGATTACATGCCGCTGATGTAAGCGGTGGTCTTGCCAAGAGTTGTCTCAGAGCGAAAGTACCTCACGGCATAGAAATCTTCTTGGCGTTGGGTATGAAAGTAATAATCATTGATCTGATCTGACGAGGGCAGCTGCGCTGAAACATTTGATGCATACAACACTGAAGCTCTGATCTGCAATGTAGGGAAATGAACGAATTTCTGAGCTTTGTGCGACTTTATGGTTGAGAGGTCAGATTCATACGCGCTTCTCAACCACCACATGGACCAACGGGTAGGCACTGCAGAGACGGAGTGCAAAGCGCTGTTGAAGTGCCAAGACGAGAGACTGTCCATGAAAACGTCCAATATGAATTAACTCATCATGTACATAGACCCTAAAAGAAATATGCATTCCACAGATTCAAACTAAAAAGACATTAAGCAGCGGTGTTATGCGGGGGCATCTCCAAAAACCTTCAACAGGCCGTCTGCCGCATGCCTTCCGAGCCCATCAAGATTTCCCATCCCCAAGAGCTCGAGGACACTAATATCAAAACCAAACGCCTGTCTCCACCAGCTACGCATCTCCACGCCAACAAGAGAGTCCATACCAAGTTGCGACAGGGGAACTGTCGTGTTCAGGTCCTCATCTGACCTCAAGAGGAAGCCAAACAGCTTTTTACCAATCTCCATCGCAAGAAGATTGGCCGATTCTTCGGTCTTCAGAACCGATGTGTCCGACTTTGCGCGGGCCAAGAAAGACTTCAAGCCATCGCTGCCGCTGGTTCCTGCGGTCTCGGCGGCGGATTTGCTGGCGTTATTGTGGTACACTGCCATCCTGCGGTCCTTTCTCCAGAAAGCTCGGCTCTCTTTACTGTTGAGAGGGACGTTGGTAGAGAGACCGAGGCCAATTGTGTGCTTGTCGATGTACCTTTCGCTGTCTGGTTCGACCCCTGCGCTTGATTGCGGAATGAGAATGGCAGCCGTCAGAGCCTCCATGAGTTCCGTTTCAGTAATGCCATGGGCACTGACGGCCTTCATCCTCTTAAGCAAAGCCTCATCCTGGGATACGTAGCCAACGTCCTGCACCGCACCGATATCAAGAGCCGAGCACGCGAGACCTAGTCCAGTCCTGAACTGCACAAACGTGTCCAGGAATGTGTTCGCCCCAGCGTAGTTGGCTTGGCCAGCCTGGCCCGTGACTCCTGACATTGACGAGAAGAGCACAAAGAAATCGAGATTGACGCCAGCCTCAATAGCGGCGTGGTGGAGGTTCCATGTTCCCGTCACCTTGGGGGCCACGGCCTGGTTCCAGTGGTCCAGGCTCATGCGTACCAGGTTTTCATCGCGAAGGACCATAGAGGCTTGAATAATTCCCTTCAGGTTCGGCGCGTGGGTAATGGCACGAGACACATCGTCCTTGTTGATGACGCTGCCTCTAACGAGTTCAACCCGACAGCCCATGCTCTCAAGCTCGCGAACCGTGTCGCCGTCCTCTGGACCTGACCCAGCACTCCGAGACATGAACACCAACCGGCGTGCACCTTGCTCGACGAGGTGTCTGGCCACTGCCCGGCCTAAACCACCGAGACCGCCAACGAGGAGATAACTTGCAGATTCGCTCAGCCTCAGCTTTTGAAGTGGCTTTGCAAGCTTTCCCGCGTCGACATTGAGATTTCCATCAGGACTGCGGACGGAAAAGACGATTTTGCCAATGTGAGTACCTTGCTGGAGATGCCGGAACCCATCTTGGGCCGAGGAAGCGTCAAAGACCTTTTTGGGTGTGAGCGGCTTGATATGGCCCATCCTCAGATGCAGCAAAATAGTTTGGAGGATTCTGAAAAGATGAGATGTTAGTCTGGGGGTCACTATTGGGAGACCAATGGGGAGATTGGAATGTAACTTACTCCTTCACCAATGACTGTCGTCTGGCCATCTCGGCATCCAGGTAGAAACAGCAGTAGCTTCGACTACCCAGGAAAACGTCCATGTCGAGTTTGCCTCCACCCAAGAAGTCTCGCTTGCCGATCTCAACCAGTTTC